CGTTGGTCCACCGGGCCGAACGTAGTTCAACCCTCTGGCTGAGATATAATGAGCATATACCACGGCCTGAAGTGAGCTATTGCTTTTATGAAACGGTTAATGGCAATATGAAAGAAAAATACACACTCTAATTTAAATAGTTTCTATTAGTAAATAATGATGTTCAAAATAAAATAGTCCCTCCGTTGCCTTCTGCACGAAACATAGTGTGAGGTGGTTGCTATGCAACAACACTAACAGCTAGAAAGAGAGAGTTGATCCATTATTTAGCTGTTTATTTACATTCATGTGTATGTTGCCGTTTCTTGTGCAGCCACTGAAACCTGTCCAGCATCAGTAGCATGCTTACGAGGTCACTTGTAGGTTGAGGCTGTTCTAGGCTGTTGCTTGGCGTGGTGAGAATATTGCTCCACTTTCTCCGGTCCCTGAGATTCGGCTTCCAGCAGCTCTGGAGAGAGCTTCCTCACCTGTGGCCACTAACGCTCATCATGTCTCTGCTTTCAAGACCCGCATCAGAACGCTTTTGAATGGTGCTACTTCTCCAGTTGGTCTGCCTGCTCTTCACGTAATAATAATAATAATAATACATTTCATTTTTAGGCGCCTTTCATGACACCAAGGACACCGTACGATTTGTTAAAAAAATAAAAAAATAAAAAAAACGCTAATAGGCAGCAGAACATGATAAAAACACAAACAGGAAGTCATGGAGGAGTCAAGTGGACACAAAGGAAACATGTAATGGGGAGCACTACAGCGAGTAGGCAGATTTGAAGAGGTGGGTTTTTAATTGGGATTTGAATATGGTGATTGTGTCTGACTGTCCGATGTGCGGGGGGAGGGAGTTCCAGAGTCTGGGAGCAGTGCAGCTAAAAGCCCGAGCACCCATGGTGACGAGGCGTGGGGTGGGGGCGGTCAGCAGACCAGCAGAGGAGGAGCGGAGGGAGCGAGAGGGGGTGTACTCCTGAAGAAGGTCAGCCAGATAGGGGGGGGCCAGGTTATGTAGGGCTTTGTAAGTGAGCAGTAGGTTTTTGAAGTTGATACGAGATTGAACAGGGAGCCAGTGGAGTTGGATGAGGATGGGGGTGATGTGTTCGGAGGCCTTGGTGCCGGTGATGATCCGGGCTGCGGAGTTCTGTATGATTTGTAGTTTATTGATGAGCTTGGTGGGAATGCCTGAGAGGATGGCGTTACAGTAGTCGATGCGGGACGTGACAAATGCATTGACCAGGACTTCAGTGTTTGATTGAGAAAGGGATGGGCGGAGTCTGGAGATGTTGCGTATGTGGAAGAAGGCAGTCCGGGTGATGTTATTTATGTGAGGTGAAAATGAGAGGGAGCTGTCCAGGATGACACCAAGGCTCTTAACTTGGCCAGAGAAGGGGATGGAGTAGCCATCAATGATGAGGTTGGAGGCAGGGGAGGATGAGGTTTTGGAGAGGGTGGTTTTGGTGCCAACCAGCAGGGCTACGGTTTTGCTGCCGTTGAGTTTTAGGAAGTTCCTGCTCATCCAGCTCCTGATGGAGGCAGTTGGTGAGAGAGGTTGGGGGGAGGGCAGTGTTGGGTTTGCAGGAAATGTAGACCTGGGTATCGTCGGCGTAACAGTGGAAATGGACATTATGATGGAAGGATAGTGCCAAGGGGGAGTAGGTAGATAATAAACAGGAGTGGACCCAATACTGACCCCTGAGGAACACCATGTGAGACAGTGGAGCAGCTTGAACGGTGGGTGCTGAGACGGACATATTGTTTTCTGTCTGTGAGGTAGGATGAAAACCATGAGAGTGCAGTACCAGTGATCCCAATTTCTGCCAAACGTTTAATAAGCAGTGCGTGTGAGATGGTGTCAAAGGCAGCTGTGAGGTCAAGGAGGATTAGGATGGTGAGCAGTCCAGAGTCAGCTGCACGGAGGAGGTCGTTGGTGATTTTTACCAGCGCTGTTTCTGTGCTGTGCTTTGAGCGGAAACCCGATTGGAAGGGTTCATGAAGGTCCAGGTGTTGTTGAAGTTGGTCAGCAACCACTCTTTCGAGGGTTTTTGAGATGAAGGAGAGGTTAGAGATGGGCCTGTAGTTATTCAGGTCATCTCGGTCAGCTCCAGGTTTTTTGAGTGTTGGTGTTATTGCAGCAGTTTTGAGGTTTGGTGGTACAGTTCCAGTTGCGAGGGACGAGTTAATGATTCTTATGATCAAGGGGCAAGTAGAGAGCACACAGGTTTTAACGAGGGCAGTGGGGAGTGGGTCGAGCTGACAGGTAGTAGGTTTGGATTTACGGATAAGCTCAGTGATGGAGAACTCAGTAGGTGCCGCGAAATTGGACAGGGTGGGGATTAGCTGGTGACTGGTGGAGCTCAGCCACTGTGGGTCGTCTTTGGAGGTTGTAGATGCAGCCAGTTGCAGGTGGATGGTGTTGATTTTGCTATTGAAGAAATTCAGAAAGTCATTGCAGTCATCAGATGAGATGTCTGTGGGGAGGGTTGTGGGAGGTTGAAGTAGGTGTCTGATGGTTGAGAAGAGGTTTCTTGTGTTACCTTTTCCAGAACTGATGAGGTTGGAGTAGTAGGAGGACTTAGCGGTGGTGAGGGCATTCTTGTAAAGGCAGAGATGTTCTTTGTAGAGCTGAATGTGGATTAAGAGTCCAGTCTTTTTGCACGTAGCTCTGCATGTCGTCGTTTAGGTGCTTTTTTTTCTGGAGATAGGCACTGCTCAATCCCCTCCTCCATAGTAAGACCCCCCCGGAGGTCCAAGTTAACCTTAAATGTTTCCATCTTGAGCTTTGTTGGTTAGTTAGTTTCTTAACGGACGTAATGTAACAGTTTTAACAGTTGTAGCTTTTCTCAGACGCGGAGGGATACTGACTTGTGAAAAGTTTACTACAATTCTACCCGTGATACGCTCATTATATCACGGCTAAGAACCAATCAGATTGCTTGATTTGACTTGTCCGTTTTATAATCACAAATAACCCTCTCAAGACGTGACATGGATACAATATTTTGTAAAAAAAAAAAAAAAAAGCTCAAATAATCTTCGTAATATCTATCAAACTATGGATCCTAAACATCCACTGGACGTAGATTCTAAAAGTACAATATAAACTTCTCGCTAGAAATCTAATCAAAAAGCATTTTAACCAAACTATCCTACAATTTAGGATTTTCCACTCAAAATAAATTGAGTGTCCGCCATGTTTTTTTTTCTCACTGGGAAAGTTTGCGATCAGGTGACATGAACACTGGTCATTAGAAATGAAGAGAAGCCCCTCAATGCAGTGCGCAATGCCTCAATGAGCTCAATGTGGGCGGAGCTTCACAGATGACGCGTTGCATCCTGTTTCCCGGGTAGCAGTTCTCTTCCCTCCCTTCAATCTAACCCTTCCCTTCCCCCCATCCTAACCCTAACCACTCCCTACCTTTTTACCTCATCCTAATCTTCCTACCTCCCGAACCTAAACCCAAAAATCTCTCTTACCCCTTAGTATTATTTTTGCCACGTCTAATCAGTTCTCCTTTAAACTCTCTCTTTTTCTCCATTTCCTTTTTGAATCCTCGTCTTTTCCTCCCCTCCCTTATGATGTAGTTGTGTTCATGTGTTCATAACCATGCATGAAGGCTGTTAATGTGTTTAAGTTGAGTTTTATATTTTTAAATGCCGTTGCCCATGGCGACAAATCACTCGCCATCAAGTTAGTTAAAAAGTTTGCATTTAAACTCAAATGTAACAGAGATCTCAAGGTATCATTATATTACCGGTATCATTATATATATATTAATAATATAAGATATAATATGTTACTTTTGTGACTGGGTAAGTACACAACACAGGAGTCGGGACGTCACGTGCTTAAAAGTTGAGAAAGGTTGAGCTCCGCCCACGTTGAGACGTTGAGGCATTGCGCACTGCATTGAGGGGTACTACGAAATGAATAGGAAAACATATTGTATCCATGTCACGTCTTGAGAGGGTTATTTGTGAATATACTAAGTTTTGCCCTGTGGAGAAACGTAGCTATTACACGTTTCTTTGTGAGACTGGGTTGACTAAAACCTACAGAACTACAGGAGAGGGGAAACAACAGAAAGCACATCAGGGTCTCTTTAAAGAAAGTGATCATCAGGGAAGTTTCCTGCTGATATCTGCTGGTAGAAAAAGGTTAAAGGCACCGCCCTGCATAACGATGGCATTTGAAGCCCAGCAGGTGACACTTTTTTTGGGTGTGTGTGAATCTGCTCCTCCATCACAATGAGGGATAATGGCCTCCTCCCCAGGGGAAGGGTGTTTTCTGCAGGAGGAAGACGGCTTGTTTGATTTGAAACAAGATAATTATGATACTGTACAAACTTAAGCAGTATCAAATTGATAAACAAAACTATTATTGACTTACAAATTATATATAAACAAATTATATACCTAATTTACATTTATTTAATCCCTTACAGCGGAGGATTACTGCTCATCGTCAGGGCCATTGAATTCAAAGGTTGTATCATCATATGCTCAAAGTGTATAAGGGCAATGCAATTCTTCTGACCTGAGCTCCTCCAACAAGGCAACATATATAATAACATGCAAAAATCCTAAATGAAAAGTAGTGCAAGAAGTATACATGTAAATAGAATATGATATGTACAAGAACAGAATATGAAATTAAATAATGTACATTAAGACAAAATTAAATACGGTTTATTGCGGTGATAACTATTTATATAAATTAGTATATATTGCAGATGAAGCATTGAAACCCCTTTAGGAGGACCCCTTAAACCCCAGATTGCTGCATCGGCAGAAGAGGCAGCAAAGCCTTGGTGTCTTGGTGCATACAAGTAAAACAACTATTTAAAAAACACAGATAGCGAACTATGATAGTGTTCTTAAAATAGTTCGCTATCTGTGTTTTTCGTTTTTGTTTTACTTTGATGTATGCACGATGACACCAAGTCAAATTCCTCGTACGTGTCAACCTATCTGGTGATAAACATGATTCTGATTTTGATTCGGTAAAAGAGGAGGAGGAGGAAGAGGAAGAGGAGGGAGGAAGAGGAAGAGGGAATCCTGCTACGATGCACGGAGGCTGTAAGGAGACGCTCCCCGGGTCTCCGGAGCTCATGAGGCGGGTCCAAAATCCGCAGAACCGCCGGGGGGATCCGGGTTTCCATCTGTACTGCCAGGAAAACACAGCATAGCTTCGGCTGCAGGAGAGAGGCTCGGCTCGGTGTCCAAATCCCGGCGTCATCTCACTGAAGCATCGGCGGTGGCGCTGGATCCTCTGTCGGGTTGCATCTATGCTATATTCTCCACTTTTCATTTGATCATGAGCACAGAGGAGGGAGAGGCGCGTGGAGGGGAGGAGGCGAAGGGGGGCGAAAACTTCCCCCACAGCCACACCTGGGGGGAAGGAGAGCCTCACGGTGGCGAGGAAAGACGCCTGCACCCCGGGGAAGAGAAGGAGGAAGAGCCGGGTGAGGAAGAGGAGGCCCGGAGATGCAGGGATGCATGTGAGGGGAACAACGGGGGGCATTTCTCCCGCGTGGAAGAGGAGGAGGAAGTGGGGGTTTTGGGGGGGAAATCGTGCAAGGAGCAGACGATGCATTCAAACAGCAGCAGTGACACCTGCATCCCGACCCCCAGCTGCAGGATCTGCTTCCAGGGAGCCGAGCAGGTACAACCAGCTGTTTCTGTCACATGCAAAGTACTGGTGGTGTGAAGGGTGGAGAGTAGCCAAGTAGATTTACTCAAGTGCTCTGTGGAGGTACTTCTACTCGAGTATTTGTACTTCCTGCTACTCTTAACTTCACATTTTTTACTTTGAACTCCACTACTGGACATTTATCTGACAGATTAAGTTTGGAGATTGTATTTAGAATACAAAATATAATCAACAAGTAGGTTATCATGTCAAGATACACTTTAAAGATCCCTATGTTACATTCAACACAACAAACATGTCTAATCAATTAGTAATTCATCATGTTTTTGAAATAGTTAAACTTTTCTGTTTTCATGTCAGAATAAGGGCGATTTCATCCAGTTAGGGTTAGGGGATGGAAACATGATGGGTTCATACATTTAAATACGTTTCAAAACAGAATCCTGACTAAACGTCCACATGTGTGTCTGTGTCCTGCTGCTCTGATTTTAAAATGTTCAAAAACATTGAACATTTTAGCTATTTTTAACTCAACAATGTTCTATAGTTTTGTATAAATGAGGTCTATTGACACTAAATGCCATAAAGAACCAAACAAAGAACAGCTCGCAGTGATACGTTGACATGTAGTTGGCTTTAGAGGTGTGACACACATTTGGCAAAAGCTGCTAGTTGTGTGGATAAACTTTATTGATCCTTGGTGAAAGTCACAAGCTACGTGTCTATATATATGTATGTATTTAGTAAGAAAAACTCTACTACGACTAGCTGCAACATTAAAGTGATAAACACATACATAATTATAATCCAATAGCTAAACATGTGTGTTACTTACTGCTAACCTACTTTACTCACCTGTAGCAGAGTAATTCTAAACATTGAATTCACTTCTTTATCTAAAGAGTTGAGGAGGTGAAAGTTGGCTTTAATTGAATGAAGGTGCTGCATGGTGATTGGCTGCTGCTGCAACTCACCTGCTTTCACATCATGCTGGAGACGTTTCTGATTGGATGGATAATAATAGAAAAAGAGCCAAAGTAAATGTGAAGATGTAAATCTGTAATGTTATTAAGAGTTACAACTAAAGTGCAGAGAAGGACCTTGAACTGACTTCAGCGCCGTGGACAGAGCATACCTGCTTCTACAGTTGGAAAGTAATCAAGAACAAGTACAGCAGTTCAGAGTACAAGTACAAGCTGTTATACTGTTAGCTGTTTGTAAGTTTAATCTACTTTTGCACAACTCACTTATAGTCTGTGTATATATAAATATATATATAACATACGTACAATTAGGGCTGCACGATTTGAAGAAATAATCTAATTGCGATTTTTCTGACAGATATTGCGATTCGATTTGCGATATTTGTTTTTAAGCGACCCAACGGAAGTTTATTGTAAAATGCGGCCATAACTCCGGCTAGGAAGGTCGTATCAACGTGCTCCCGTCTCTAGCATCCCGCAGCCCGAGCTACGAGTGAAAGAACTAAACTTACATGTAACTTCCGTTGGGTTGCTTTAAAGTCGAGCTTCAGTTTCAGATTCACCCTGTAATAGAAACATGTGATGGAGCATCACTAACCTGACCCAGAGGGTTGGTTTCACCATCTGAAGCTCCACTGGAAGCCATTTGGAAAAGTATTTCAAAAATACTTGGCAGGTGATTGGATCAATCTGTCAATCACCTTCTATCAGGGGCCACTGATTGGTTAACAATGGCTGGTACATGTGGAGCACAGCACTTCTGATTGGTTAACAATGGCTGGTACATGTGGAGCACAGCACTTCTGATTGGTTAACAATGGCTGGTACATGTGGAGCACAGCACTTCTGATTGGTTAACAATGGCTGGTACATGTGGAGCACAGCACTTCTGATTGGTTAACAATGGCTGGTGCATGTGGAGCACAGCACTTCTGATTGGTTAACAATGGCTGGTACATGTGGAGCACAGCCCTTCTGATTGGTGTGGATGACTGACACACAAGAAGAACAACATTTTTTTTAACAATTATAATTTATATTTATTGAAAGGCCATTGACAGATTGAATTAAATAAAAACACACAAGAAGTTAAAGCAAGAGCAATAAGCTTCAGTAAGAATGCTATAGCAATTATTAAAATAACATGTATATATTTATATAAACACACATACAATGAAATACAACTAAATTAAATGAACTTAAATCAAAACAAGTTTTTAAAAATAATATATTGGACGTAAAATAAAAAATTTAAATATTTCTATAAGCACAAGACATTCAATTAAAATGTTCAATAAGATAACATATATTTAAACAAAGGAGGTTAAATAAGAGTTCGCAATAAAAATATATAACTAAAAATGTATATTTATATTAACATAAGGAGTTAAAACGTAATATCTAATAAAAAATAAAATAAAACAGGAAAAAAACTATACAAAATGTAAGACTGTACAATAAAAAGACTGAATTAAATACAATTAGATATATATATAGATATGCCCATACACTACAGTTCTCCAATGGATTCACAATGAGAGGTGGAGGAAATCCCTGAATCACGGTCTCAGTGAATCATCAGTCTGTGAGTCCTCCTGCAGACGGCGGACAGACAAACGGTCACGCGTCTCTGAAACCTGAAACTCTGCAGGGTGCTTTTCTGTCTCGTGACAGCATGAGGGACGGCTCGTCCTGCAGGAAGGAGAGCAGGCAGTAAACGCTAAGTGAATATCCTGTCCTCTGAACGTGGGCTACAGCCTATTAGCACACTTAATCTAATCCCTGCGTCCGGGGCCAGACTAATATCTGGATTTTAGAGTTCCCTTCTCACGCATTTACCTGCACATTGGTGACTTGCAACATTCTCTTGCACTGTTTCATATTGTTTTATGTCTTATATATTCATGTTGCATTATTGAAGGAGCCTGGGACTTAAGATTTTCATTTTAAATAACTACACTGTAGCTCCTGAGCATACGACGATAAAGCCTTTTAATCTTAAATCTTGAAGGCCGAGCTCCACCTGTTATCAGGGAGAATGTAAATATTCATTTATGAGCAGAGTAAGATGTTATCTAAGTCCAGTAAATCAGCATCAATGGAGTCATGTTTTGAATAACTTGAAGGAAAGGAAGACTTCACCCCAAAAACATCATAATTTAAATACACAGATGAACTGTGAATATGATAAGTCATGTGACCGTGCTGTAGTTCCTTTATAGCCCAACATTAGCCTCCTTTAGCTTAGCGGTGGTGACGTGAAGTCATGTGACCGTGCTGTAGTTCCTTTATAGCCCAACATTAACCGCCTTTAGCTTAGCGGTGGTGACGTGAAGTCATGTGACCGTGCTGTAGTTCCTTTATAGCCCAACATTAGCCGCCTTTAGCTTAGCGGTGGTGACGTGAAGTCATGTGACCGTGTTGTAGTTCCTTTATAGCCCAACATTAGCCGCCTTTAGCTTAGCGGTGGTGATGTGAAGTCATGTGACCGTGCTGTAGTTCCTTTATAGCCCAACATTAGCCGCCTTTAGCTTAGCGGTGGTGACTTGAAGTCATGTGACCGTGCTGTAGTTCCTTTATAGCCCAACATTAGTCGCCTTTAGCTTAGCGGTGGTGATGTGAAGTCATGTGACCGTGCTGTAGTTCCTTTATAGCCCAACATTAGCCGCCTTTAGCTTAGCGGTGGTGACTTGAAGTCATGTGACCGTGCTGTAGTTCCTTTATAGCCCAACATTAGTCGCCTTTAGCTTAGCGGTGGTGACGTGAAGTCATGTGACCGTGCTGTAGTTCCTTTATAGCCCAACATTAGCTGCCTTTAGCTTGGTGGTAGTGACGTGAAGTCATGTGACCGTGCTGTAGTTCCTTTATAGCCCAACATTAGCCTCCTTTAGCTTAGCGGTGGTGACGTGAAGTCATGTGACCGAGCTGTAGTTCCTTTATAGCCCAACATTAGCCTCCTTTAGCTTAGCGGTGGTGACGTGAAGTCATGTGACCGTGCGGTAGTTCCTTTATAGCCCAACATTAGCTTAGCGGTGGTGACGTGAAGTCATGTGACCGTGCTGTAGTTCCTTTATAGCTCAACATTAGCCACCTTTAGCTTAGCGGTGGTGACGTGAAGTCATGTGACCGTGCTGTAGTTCCTTTATAGCCCAACATTAGCCTCCTTTAGCTTAACGGTGGTGACGTGAAGTCATGTGACCGTGCTTTAGTTCCTTTATAGCCCAACATTAGCCTCCTTTAGCTTAGCGGTGGTGACGTGAAGTCATGTTACCGTGCTTTAGTTCCTTTATAGCCCAACATTAGCCACCTTTAGCTTAGCAGTGGTGACGTGAAGTCATGTGACCGTGCTGTAGTTCCTTTATAGCCCAACATTAGCCTCCTTTAGCTTAACGGTGGTGACGTGAAGTCATGTGACCATGCTGTAGTTCCTTTATAGCCCAACATTAGCCACCTTTAGCTTAGCGGTGGTGACGTAAAGTCATGTGACCGAGCGGTAGTTCCTTTATAGCCCAACATTAGCCTCCTTTAACTTAGCGGTGGTGACGTGAAGTCATGTGACCGTGCGGTAGTTCCTTTATAGCCCAACATTAGCCTCCTTTAACTTAGCGGTGGTGACGTGAAGTCATGTGAACGAGCTGTAGTTCCTTTATAGCCCAACATTAGCCTCCTTTAGCTTAACGGTGGTGACGTGAAGTCATGTGACCTTGCTATAGTTCGTTTATAGCCCAACATTAGCCGCCTTTAGCTTAGCGGTGGTGACGTGAAGTCATGTGACCGTGCTGTAGTTCCTTTATAGCCCAACATTAGCCTCCTTTAGCTTAGCGGTGGTGACGTGAAGTCATGTGACCGTGCTTTAGTTCCTTTATAGCCCAACATTAGCCTCCTTTAGCTTAGCGGTGGTGACGTGAAGTCATGTTACCGTGCTTTAGTTCCTTTATAGCCCAACATTAGCCACCTTTAGCTTAGCAGTGGTGACGTGAAGTCATGTGACCGTGCTGTAGTTCCTTTATAGCCCAACATTAGCCTCCTTTAGCTTAACGGTGGTGACGTGAAGTCATGTGACCGTGCTTTAGTTCCTTTATAGCCAAACATTAGCCTCCTTTAGCTTAGCGGTGGTGACGTGAAGTCATGTTACCGTGCTTTAGTTCCTTTATAGCCCAACATTAGCCACCTTTAGCTTAGCAGTGGTGACGTGAAGTCATGTTACCGTGCTTTAGTTCCTTTATAGCCCAACATTAGCCACCTTTAGCTTAACGGTGGTGACGTGAAGTCATGTGACCATGCTGTAGTTCCTTTATAGCCCAACATTAGCCTCCTTTAGCTTAGCGGTGGTGACGTGAAGTCATGTGACCGTGCTGTAGTTCCTTTATAGCCCAACATTAGCCTCCTTTAGCTTAGCAGTGGTGACGTGAAGTCATGTGACCGTGCTGTAGTTCCTTTATAGCCCAACATTAGCCTCCTTTAGCTTAACGGTGGTGACGTGAAGTCATGTGACCGTGCTGTAGTTCCTTTATAGCCCAACATTAGCCTCCTTTAGCTTAGCAGTGGTGACGTGAAGTCATGTGACCGTGCTGTAGTTCCTTTATAGCCCAACATTAGCCTCCTTTAGCTTAACGGTGGTGACGTGAAGTCATGTGACCGTGCTGTAGTTCCTTTATAGCCCAACATTAGCCTCCTTTAGCTTAGCGGTGGTGACGTGAAGTCATGTTACCGTGCTTTAGTTCCTTTATAGCCCAACATTAGCCACCTTTAGCTTAGCAGTGGTGACGTGAAGTCATGTGACCATGCTGTAGTTCCTTTATAGCCCAACATTAACTTGTTACTTCAGAAATCATAAAGTGGTGTTAACATGTGAATATTTTCCTGCTGACCAAAACATCTATGAATCATAAACGTTGAGATTATTTTCTGAAATAATCATACGTCTCCTTTTCGTGGCGGGAACCAGGGAGATGTTGCTTTCAGGGTCCACTTTGTTGGCCTCTACAATCCCAAAAGAGTTTTATGGTTCATCAAATGTCCCCTCAGATATCCAGAAGCATTGAAATCCTCCTTCTCTTTAAAGCCTCACAGCTTCAGTGGAGAGCCGCCCTAACTCAGTTAATTCAAGTGAAAGCCTCTGAGGTGCTCTTCAACCCACAAGGTTAATATGACATGGTGAAAAACGATCTGCCTGACCGCTGACCTTAATACACTTTTAATACTCCGCTCACTGCCCGGCAGTAATGGCCGCCTGAGGAATGCCTCCAGGAAGAAAGCATAGATATGGTTTTTCATGATTTATGTCGCGCTGCATCTGGACGTGTTGTAGCTGCAGAGCAACGATCATTGATCTGAGCGACGCTGGTGAACAAGGCGTGGATTTTATTTGATGAATGACCCGCTGGGAGGAAATCCAAACTGAGGCATGAAGGCAAGGCTCCCTGGATGATGAGAAAGTTGTGACACGTAGACCTTAAGAATTGGATTTAAGATTAACATTAAGAAGATGGTTCCACTATCGACCCAACAGCAGATTGTTTCCGTCTGTTTCTCTTAAGATTGTGTCACATCTACTCCAGCGTGTTTAAGACAAAGAGCATTTACAAAAATAAGAACAAGGCGCCTTAAATGCAGACTTTTTGAGACTAAACTTGTTTGTTATTCATTTATCAATAAAGGTTTTTTTAAATCACAATCAGGGTTCGTTGAATGCTTTTCAGATTGCCAATTAAAAAACATGCACTTCCACTAAAAGTAAATTGGATTGTATTTGATTGCTTATCAAGTCTTGAAGCTTCCATTTCCTAATCAGTTGTTAATATGTGTTTGTGACATTCATATGTTATCCTTGTTGTTGTCCTCCCATCTAATGTGACCCTTTCCAAACGTCTTTAATGTCAGAATAAGTGAATCTTTTATTTAGTTGCCACAGAAACGAAGATTTACAAAAAATCTATGTGTGTTTTATCCAAACTCAGAACATATGTGGTCTTCCCAGGTCAAAGTTCACCCACATTTCACGGGAAGAAAACACAAAGGTTAACGATTAAAGAAATTCTCTCTCCATCATCATGTGTTGATATCTGACCTCTGACCTGCTGCAGGGCGCCCTGCTGAACCCGTGCCGCTGCGACGGCTCGGTGCGCTACACCCACCAGACCTGCCTCCTGAAGTGGATCAGCGAGCGCGGCTGCTGGACCTGTGAACTCTGCTGCTACCGCTTCAGCGTCATCGCCATCAACACCAAGAACCCCTGGCAGGTAAAGCACTGAGGGCGGGGAGTGGGGAATCATTAATAATTGTACTTTATTTAATGTACAATTATGATGAATGAGCACGTAATAAAACATTTATATAAATACGTACAAATATGCACTTTAACATGTAACAGGTTGGTTGATAATGGACGTTTAAATAATGAATTAGGAATCATTGCCATTATATGATCTCTGGGCTTTTTACGACTTTCTTTACAGCCGTTTGAGGTTACCGTTTTCTCCCACCGAGCATCCTCTCTGAATTATTATAGAGGCATTAACAGATGATTGTTTTTACAGTCTCTCTGGTGCATTGATTTATGCTCAGAAATATTCACAGTGCAGGAAAACCGGCCAAAAAATAAACCCTCCTGCATCTGTGTTACGTCCCAACTAGGGGAAGAGGAAAGGCAACACACACCAGTTGGAATTGGTAATTATTTACAAGGAGTTTATTAAATAACAGGATAACAAAATGGAGCAACCAACAAAGGGAGGACTCTAATAAGAGAGCCTAATCAAACACAAAGGAATAGATACTACAGGGAGGCGTGTGGCGCAGTGGGTTCTGTGTTGGTGTTCGGATCAGGGTTCAAACCCCACTGCAGTCAGCATGTCATTGTGTCCCTGAGACGTCTTCACCCCAAATTGCTCCTGTGGGGATTGTCCACACATGTAAGTCGCTTTGGATTCAAGCGTCTAACAAGTGACATGTCATGTAATGTAAACAACAATAGCAACAAAACAACCCTCACTATTAAAGTGGTACAAGCTAACAAGAGGAGGCTGTAAGAAAACACAGCTAAGCTAGAGGACGACAGTCAACGTAATTCTAAGCTACTCTAGACACATCTAATCAACACTAAACTAAATACGGACCACACGAGTTAAGCACAACGAAAAGCAAGTAGCGAGAGGCGTCTGTTCACACATCAGAGCTGGTCGCCGACAGACTGATCGCTGTCCACAGGCTTTGTAGTCGTCTCCGGAAGGTGGATGTGTGCTGGGATTGGAGCGTGTCGGGCCCGGCATCCTCCAATCACAATCTTCGGGGCGGGCCAGGAGATGAGCAGCCAAGGAGATGAGCAGCCAAGGACATCAGGGCAACCGCACAGCTCATTTACATAAAACACATTCAAATAGAGTTAAACGGGGAGGCGGCGGCCGTAACGATCTGTCAGAGCACTTCCTGCGTAACTTCCCTCTTAATTAAAACCATTATAATAGCATCTGTATATTTCTTTTGAATGGCTGACTGCTCAGAACATGTGGAAATAAGTGGAAAACTGCAAAACATCGCCACATTTCAACCTTTTTAAATGTGATGTAAGTCTTAAAAGGACATCAGTTTAAAATCTCTGAGTTCATGCATTTCGCCTCTGAATTATGACCCTCCCCCATTTTCATGAACACAAAATGGACTCTACTAAATCAGTAGTAAAGATGCAGTTAAGAATACATTTCCATCAAACCATCTATCTATAGTCATGATGGTTGTTTTCTTGATGGAGGCGTGGCGTTGACCCGCTCAGTGTTTCTGTTTCCTCTTCAGTTTGGATTCCTTCAGTCCTTGTTTCCTCCCAAGGCTGAACAGACGGAGCCTCCTGCAGCTCAACATGTCTGGATGGTTTCATTATCTGAGGAACATTCAGGCTTTTTCATATCTGTTCGCTCCAGATGGGACTTGAGTCACTGGGCAGAATGAACAAACACCCTCTGCCTAAAAGTAGTTTTCTCCGTGCAGCTTCACAATCCACAATGTTCTGATTCTGAGTTAACTCTAAGCTTTTTTGGCTTTAAAGAGTCCTCTCCTGCTGATGTTCAGGTGTATATCAGTATTTAGCGTCTCTACTTTAAAGAGTCCTCTCCTGCTGATGTTCAGGTGTATATCAGTATGTAGTGTCTCTACTTTAAAGAGTCCTCTCCTGCTGATGTTCAGGTGTATATCAGTATGTAGTGTCTCTACTTTAAAGAGTCCTCTCCTGCTGATGTTCAGGTGTATATCAGTATGTAGTGTCTCTACTTTAAAGAGTCCTCTCCTGCTGATGTTCATTTGTATTTCAGTATGTAGTGTCTCTACTTTAAAGAGTTCTCTCCTGCTGATGTTCAGGTGTATATCAGTATGTAGTGTCTCTACTTTAAAGAGTCCTCTCCTGCTGATGTTCAGGTGCATATCAGTATGTAGTGTCTATACTTTAAAGAGTCCTCTCCTGCTGATGTTCAGGTGTATATCAGTATGTAGAGTCTCTACTTTAAAGAGTCCTCTCCTGCTGATGTTCAGGTGTATATCAGTATGTAGTGTCTCTACTTTAAAGAGTCCTCTCCTGCTGATGTTCAGGTGTATATCAGTATGTAGTGTCTCTACTTTAAAGAGTCCTCTCCTGCTGATGTTAGGTGTATATCAGTATGTAGTGTCTCTACTTTAAAGAGTTCTCTCCTGCTGATGTTTAGGTGTATATCAGTATGTAGTGTCTCTACTTTAAAGAGTCCTCTCCTGCTGATGTTCAGGTGTATATCAGTATGTAGTGTCTCTACTTTAAAGAGTCCTCTCCTGCTGATGTTCAGGTGTATATCAGTATGTAGTGTCTCTACTTTAAAGAGTCCTCTCCTGTTGATGATCAGGTGTATTTCAGTATGTAGTGTCTCTACTTTAAAGAGTCCTCTCCTGCTGATGTTCAGGTGTATATCAGTATGTAGTGTCTCTACTTTAAAGAGTCCTCTCCTGCTGATGTTCAGGTGTATTTCAGTATGTAGTGTCTCTACTTTAAAGAGTCCTCTCCTCTGATGTTCAGGTGTATATCAGTATGTAGTGTCTCTACTTTAAAGAGTCCTCTCCTGTTGATGATCAGGTGTATTTCAGTATGTAGTGTCTCTACTTTAAAGAGTCCTCTCCTGCTGATGTTCAGGTGTATATCAGTATGTAGTGTCTCTACTTTAAAGAGTCCTCTCCTGCTGATGTTCAGGTGTATATCAGTATGTAGTGGTCTCTACTTTAAAGAGTCCTCTCCTGCTGATGTTCAGGTGTATTTCAGTATGTAGTGTCTCTACTTTAAAGAGTCCTCTCCTGCTGATGTTCAGGTGTATATCAGTATGTAGTGTCTCTACTTTAAAGAGTCCTCTCCTGCTGATGTTCAGGTGTATTTCAGTATGTAGTGTCTCTACTTTAAAGAGTCCTCTCCTGCTGATGTTCAGGTGTATATCAGTATGTAGTGTCTCTACTTTAAAGAGTCCTCTCCTGCTGATGTTCAGGTGTATTTCAGTATGTAGTGTCTCTACTTTAAAGAGTCCTCTCCTGCTGATGTTCAGGCGTATATCAGTATGTAGTGTCTCTGCTTTAAAGAGTCCTCTCCTGCTGATGTTCAGGTGTATATCAGTATGTAGTGTCTCTACTTTAAAGAGTCCTCTCCTGCTGATGTTCAGGTGTATTTCAGTATGTAGTGTCTCTACTTTAAAGAGTCCTCTCCTGCTGATGTTCAGGTGTATATCAGTATGTAGTGTCTCTACTTTAAAGAGTCCTCTCCTGCTGATGTTCAGGTGTATATCAGTATGTTGTGTCTCTACTTTAAAGAGTCCTCTCCTGTTGATGATCAGGTGTATTTCAGTATGTAGTGTCTCTACTTTAAAGAGTCCTCTCCTGCTGATGTTCAGGTGTATATCAGTATGTAGTGTCTCTACTTTAAAGAGTCCTCTCCTGCTGATGTTCAGGTGTATATCAGTATGTAGTGTCTCTACTTTAAAGAGTCCTCTCCTGCTGAAGTTCAGGTGTATATCAGTATGTAGTGTCTCTACTTTAAAGAGTCCTCTCCTGCTGATGTTCAGGTGTATATCAGTATATAGCGTCTCTACTTTAAAGAGTCCTCTCCTGCTGATGTTCAGGTGTATATCAGTATGTAGTGTCTCTACTTTAAAGAGTCCTCTCCTGCTGATGTTCAGGTGTATATCAGTATGTAGTGTCTCTACTTAAAGAGTCCTCTCCTGCTGATGTTCAGGTGTATATCAGTATGTAGTGTCTCTACTTTAAAGAGTCCTCTCCTGCTGATGTTCAGGTGTATTTCAGTATGTAGTCTCTCTACTTTAAAGAGTCCTCTCCTGCTGAAGTTCAGGTGTATATCAGTATGTAGTGTCTCTACTTTAAAGAGTCCTCTCCTGCTGATGTTCAGGTGTATATCAGTATGTAGTGTCTCTACTTTAAAGAGTCCTCTCCTGCTGATGTTCAGGTGTATATCAGTATGTAGTGTCTCTACTTTAAAGAGTCCTCTCCTGCTGATGTTCAGGTGTATTTCAGTATGTAGTGTCTCTACTTTAAAGAGTCCTCTCCTGCTGATGTTCAGGTGTATATCAGTATGTAGTGTCTCTACTTTAAAGAGTCCTCTCCTGCTGATGTTCAGGTGTATTTCAGTATGTAGTCTCTCTACTTTAAAGAGTCCTCTCCTGCTGATGTTCAGGTGTATATCAGTATGTAGTGTCTCTACTTTAAAGAGTCCTTTCCTGCTGAAGTTCAGGTGTATATCAGAATGTAGTGTCTCTACTTTAAAGAGTCCTCTCCTGCTGATGTTTAGGTGTATATCAGTATGTAGTGTCTCTACTTTAAAGAGTCCTCTCCTGCTGATGTTCAGGTGTATATCAGTATGTAGTGACTCTACTTTAAAGAGTCCTCTCCTGTTGATGATCAGGTGTATATCAGTATGTAGTGTCTCTACTTTAAAGAGTCATCTCCTGCTGATGTTCAGGTGTATATCAGTATGTAGTGACTCTACTTTAAAGAGTCCTCTCCTGCTGATGTTCAGGTGTATATCAGTATGTAGTGTCTCTACTTTAAAGAGTCCTCTCCTGCTGATGTTCAGGTGTATATCAGTATGTAGTGCCTCTACTTTAAAGAGTCCTCTCCTGCTGATGTTCAGGTGTATATCAGTATGTAGTGGTCTCTACTTTAAAGAGTCCTCTCCTGCTGATGTTCAGGTGTATATCAGTATGTAGTGTCTCTACTTTAAAGAGTCCTCTCC